GGCAAGTGTGGGGGCCAATCAATGGTATCAATTCCTTCATCCTCAAGGAACCCCCTGCATACTCTTGCCAGCTAAGAGCACTCCGTTAACGAAGTAACCATCAGCAGGTGTGTGAGGAGGCGGACCAGAACCAGGCGCCTCCTGGTGGAGGGAGGAAGACAAACACAGAAAACGCAAACAGACAGACAGGAGTCCTGACAGTGCCGTTGTCTAGCTTGTATAGATCTGTGCGCGCCTCCATAGATATGCTTCCCCAGACCATCACTGACCCACCACCAAACCGGTCATGCTGAACAATGTAACAGGCAGCATAATGTTCTCCACAGCTTCTCCAGACCCTTTCACGTCTGTGTGCTCAGGTTGAACCTGCTCTCATCTGTTAAAAGCACAGGGTGCCAGTGGTGGACTTGCCAATTCTGGTGTTCTGTGGGAAATACCAATCGAGCTCCACACTGCCGGGCAGTGAGCACAGGGCCACCTACAGGACACCTTCATGAAGTCTGTTTCTGATTGTTTTGTCAGAGACATTCACACCAGTGGCCTGCTGGAGGTCATTTTGTAGGGCTCTGGCAGTGCTCCTCCTTGCAGAAAGGAGCAGATACCGTTCCTGCTGATGGGTTGTACACCTTCTACGGCCCTGTCCAGCTCTCCTGGAGTAACTGCCTGTGTCCTGGAATCTCCTCCATGTTCTTTAGATTGTGCTGGGAGAGACAGCAAACCTTCTGGCAATGGCACGCATTGATGTGCCATCCTGGAAGAGTTGGACCCCCTGTGCAACCTCTTTAGGGTCCAGGTAGCGCCTTTTGCTAACAGTAGTGACAGTGACCCTAGCCAAATGCAAAACTGGTGAAAAGGAGTCAGAAAAGATGAGGAGGGGAAAAAATGTCATTCCTGTTTTGATGGTCGTCTCGTTGTTGCCCCTCTAGTGCACCTGTTGTTAATTTCATTAACACCAAAGCAGCTGAAACTGATTAACAACCCCCTCTGCTACTTACCTGACCAAATCAATATCGCATAAGTTTAATTAACTTGATGCTATACTCTGATTACAAAGTGTTCCTTTTTTGTATCCCTGTGTCAGTGAAGTTATAGTTTCCTACGAACACTTGAAACTGTAAATACTTTAAGACTTATGGTAATAACACAGTTACATGTTTATATCCTTTAATTTTCTTAATATAATTGTTACTGTGCTATTTTTTTTACTCTTTTAGTAATTATTTATCCGGCCCTTTCTGGAACCAATTTGACACCCCTTTTCTAGTGTGTCCTCCTAATTCCTCCTTTCTCTGGTCTCCAACAGAACCTGAACTGAAGCTCACCTGGATCAAGCCTGCTTCCACATCTCCTTGCAGCTCCGGAAGTGTCTCCTCTCGGGTTGACTCCTTACTGGATCCACCAGCCTGCCTGTCCACCCACCACCCATCACAATCTCTGTTCACGAAAAGGACCAGATAATACAAGCTCTCCTTCTCTGCTTCAACCAACGCTCCTTTCCTTTCCCCTGGTCAATTGTCCACAACCTTCTTCAAAAACTTCAGTGAATAAACCTTCTTCTTTTTCTTCTTCTTTTGTTAACAGTGTCCTGTCTGGTGATGTGGCAACAAGAATAATTGTCTTGATGCCAAAAAAAAAACCCAACAGATTTTGCTTTCACAAGTGGAGCAGTACGGCTATCGCCATGGTGTTCCATTTGATTAATGCATATAAATAGCTTTATTATTATCATACAGGGAGTACTACAGATTATATGGACACTGCAATGTGAGTAGAACAGGAAAGGAAAAACAGATAAAAAAGGAGAAAAGATTAAAGAAAGAGGAGATGAAAGGGAGACAACGATAAAACATCTTCAGTCTGCTTCATCACCTGCAAAGAGATGTAAAATAACAGCACAACCAACGGATATAGTATAAGGGATACGATCAAGTAACACCTTGGTACTATCGCTGAAGTATAAGTAGTATCATTTAATCTGACATGTATACTGTGGTCGCTGAAGATAAGAATATAGGCTTTCTGTATAGAAGTGAATCTTTAAGTACCTGGAAACAAGCACCTGTAGTTGTTTGTTAGAGTGCACTGGTGCATGTAAAGTTTATCCAAAGAAAAAATGCTCAATAGTGGTTGTGAATAGTCGAAGACGCGTCCCTCCAGAACACCAAGGCGAGCGCCAGGGGACCCAAAGCCCCAGACGCCTAAAGGGACCCCAAGAGCAAAGGCAGCCAGGAGGGGACAACCATGTAATCCAACCGCGTAAAGTTCACATTCAAATGAGCAGGAAAGATGCACTCAAGATGACTTCAAGCCAGACAGCTGCAAATATAACCAAAAGGTTGACTGGAGTAACACATATCCAACAATTCGTCTTCTCACTGCAGTCTCTTACAGAGAGCAGGGGATCCTTCGCCTTTGGAGTAGGGTGATGATCATCTGCTGCCCCCTTGTGGTTAAGCTTAACATCATAAGTAGGCTGGGTTAAAAGAGCTGTGCAGGTTGCCGCAGCTCCATTTGTATGGTGTGAGAGTTAAATTAACCTGGTTACACCACTACGACAGTGGGTCTTTACTAAGTAAACTATGCTGACTTTTACCTTGATATTTTAGCATTGTTGTAAATCTGGTGCCGATGTACATATGGGGGCGAGAACAAATCAGTCCTCTTATCTTTTTAGGCATACTGTGAAATAACCAGAGCGAGCCTGATGTGCTAACATGGATGCGGCTATACAGCACTTTGCTTCAGGGAAAAAATATTTTAACAAGCTTCCTAATGGAAACCTCAACAAGACTAAAGCTGTTTGCACCTTGTGCAATGCGGAATCAGTTTACTGCAGGAGTTCTCAAGTAACACCTTAATGCAAAGCATCCCTTAACCCAGCCAAGCAGGAACAGACCAGATGAAGCTAATATGGCAAATAGCAGATAGAGCATAATGTTAGAGATTGAAATAACAAATTCTGCAGAGACAGGAGAATAGAGATAGAATGAATCAGAATGATGAAAAAGGGGTCCCTATGTCCTCCAGCAGTCTACCGGTAAGCCTATTGCAGCGTAACTATAAACCAGGCGTCGGCAATCCGCGGCTCCGGAGCCGCATGCAGCTCTTTAGCTCCCCTTGCTGCTCCCTAGGGCTTTTTCAAAAATTTATGAAAAATCGTTTTTTTTTTCTGTTTGTTTGTTTGTTTTAATATGGTGTGCAGGAGGTCAAACAAAAAGTAATTATGTTTTCCAATGCTGTAAACATTTGTATAATAAATAAATTTAAACAATAATTTGCGTCATAGCCATAGAGATCAGTGGTCATAACTTGCAACCAGCGTGGCGCGGTGCCAGGCAAACAATGCTGCTGGAGTGTCTCGGACCATCCATCCCAAAGGGGCAAAAAAGGAAGATAGCTGATGAGAAAGGATTCTAAGGATGGACCGTAAAAATTAGAAATGAGATTTCTTTTTTTTACAATTTCCTGGAGATGAAAGAAGGAAATTCTTTAAACATCTTTGATTGATATGGTATTTAAATCACAGGTTAGGATCAAAAATACCATCAAGATTTTTTTACTTTATTATCTGTAATTTAATTACATCTGAATGAGATGAGTTAATATTCACCTTCTATTTCAAAGACTCTGAGAACAATATTAAGTATATTGATAAACCATGTCATTAGCTAACTAAAATCAATGTAATTCAACTCAAAAACTGGGTTACTGGAGAAAATTACTTTGATTTTCTAATTAGCTTGTTTTTAAGTACTTTGGCAACTTTTATTATTTAGAATAATGACAACAAGCAGTCTTTGCTGTAGAGAGCCCAGAAAGAGTCAGAAAAAGGATCAGCTGATGTTCAGGTTAATCCTGTGTGTCACGTCTCTAGGTTTTAACCAAGCAAGAGTCCCACTACACTTTAAATAGCCTACAGCACATATGACTTCAACGAAGTTGTCTGTTCTCCTGTGTACAGCGTCAAAGATCAATAATGATGGAACTAAAAAACAAATCAACACACCCTTAACTCATCTTTTCATGCATAGCAAAGTCTAAAAAGAAAGAACAGGTAATTAAAGCAAACATGTAATTAACATCCTGACACGCACTACTGCCAAATATTATAAGAGAAAACCAGTTCCTATATTTTTTCTCTGTTGCTGCTGTGATGCATTGTTTATTTTCTTCACTTGGTTACAATCCATAAAATATGAAAAGATGGGACTATACTATTTCCAACTGTTTTCACACGTTGTTGACAAATAAAACATGAAAACACACATTAGTAATAAATTATGAATGTGTTTATTTGACTTTTTTTTTCTTTCTTTCTTTGTGTGTTTTGTTCAGACAATATAGCTCTGGGAAATTATGTCCCAGAGCTGGATGATAGCCCAACAGCGTTGCTTTCACAAGCAGACCATTTAGACTGCTGGGTTCTGCTTGATACTAGTACATCAGACTTTATTGAAAATTACTATTACTAGTAATAGATGGAGAGAGAGAGAGAGAGAGAGAGAAAACAATAATTCTCTCATCTATCTATCTATCTGTCTGTCTATCTATCTGTCTGTCTGTCTGTCTGTCTGTCTATCTGTGGAGGCAGGCAAACTAAAATTGAAATAGGCAGAACTAAAAGGCAAATCAAGTCAACACTTTTACAAAGCGATCAAAAACTCTTGAAACGTTTAATCTGTTATTATAAACAACATGTAAAGTCTCAGTTGAGAATAGAAATTCTCTTTCATTTTGTCCTAAATCATATTTAGCAGTGGTGGACGTCAAATATCTGTTAGTTTTAGTTACCTTTTCCTTCAACATGAATAGTTGAATTTAGGGTGTGTCCATTTTTTTCAGATTCTGTGACATCTTTATGGATCTTTGACGCTGTAAACATTGGAACACACCCATTCATTGAGGTCATAGGTAGAGTATTTAAAGTGTAGAAGCCCTCTTGAGTTTTAGTATCAAAACCAGGAGACCTAACACACAGGATTTACCTGAACACCTGAACTATGAAGCTGATTGTTTCTCTGACTATCATTTGGGCTCTTTACAGCAGAGGTAAGATTAATTATTATGTATTTATTTAATATAAGTTTCTTATGGTAGGAAATACTGGAATAGATTTTTATCTTTTTTTCAGCTGACATTGTTATTCGTGAAAAACTAGAGGTGAATGATTTGTAATTGTTTTCATTCTATTTATTGTTTTGTATTTGTTTATTGGATGATCACGACATGGAATTTAAAACAAATAGCAGTCTTCATCACAATGTTGAATGTTGTGATGTGTTGAATGATGCGAATGTGATGCTTCTGATTTAAAACAGGTTCTTTGATTCATACTGTGATCAAAGTGTTATCATACTTAATCTCAGACAGTTAAATTATTTCATTTGAGTCATAAAGGCTTTTTTTCTCTTTAGGTTAACATTTAAAATTTCAAATCTGATTTTTGTGTTACATATTGTATTTCTGCATAAGAATTATTTAGTGTTAGTTTCTATCATCGTCTTATTAGTGAGGACTTATTTTTCTTATGATTAAGTATTTTTCTATCCATGATTTGGTTAAAGTACAATGATTCAGTAAAGGATATAAATCTTTTATTTTCTCAGCCTTTCTTGAAATGTAAAAATAAAAATATATTTGGTCCTTAAGGAAAGTAAATGTTACGTAATGACTAGGTGTTTACCATCCTTACTTGAGCTTAAGGCCTTTTTTCCAATAAATTTTAGACCAATTTCAAAGAATCAGAGTTGTTTTTTAATATAGCTTCCAAAGAACTGTTTCCTGATATTTGAAATAATATATTTTTAATCAATACTTTTCAACTGTTTGCAGCTGGGGCCCTGCAGTGCATCACCTGCACCGATCCGTCATGTTCAATCTCAGTATCACAACCATGTGGCTCAGAGACGATGTGCATAACAGCTAACATTAGAGGTATTGGTGTGTTTGTTTCTTACTTCTCTTTATAGTCGGAACTGCTGCTTTCATTTTCAGACTGTGTATACTTTCTATTAAAAACAACAAACATCCCATTGGCTTTGCAGGAACTCAGAATGGAGTTACAGGAACACAAATCTACAAGGCCTGCGCACCACCCTCTCTGTGTCCAGCCACAGGCAGTCAGACGTTTTCAGTCAACTTGGGTTTACAAAGCGCAATTGCATCTGCTGAGTGCTGCAACACTGACAACTGCAATTCACAAACTCTGACTTGTAGGTTTTATCAGGAGTTTTTGAAATCCTGACATTCCTCTTGTGTTTTATGTGTTAAACAAGTGTCTCTTTCATCTGCTGGTTCAATTTCAGCGCCACCTCCTCAGTCAGTAAACTCCCTTCAGTGTATTGTTTGTAACCCCTTCACATCTGAGTGCGCCACTCCCATCACATGTTTAGGACCTGAGACCAACTGTATGACAGCAACTGGTAAGTTCATGTGTATAATACTTTGGATAAAATATTGTCTAATTTTAAAGAATACTTTAAACTAGTGCTGGAATTAAACAAAAACTTATGTTTAAAACTGAAGAAAGCAAGAAAGCAGTCTTCTGCTGTTTGAATATTTGATGTATGTTTTTTTGGAAAGAATTGTCTTACTCGACTTTCTTTTATATATTAACAGTAATGGATGGAACAACCACAGTTCCAGCGCTGGGATGTATTAGTCCAAACACATGTGCAGCTGCTTCAAGTCTGGGTAATTTGCCATTTATGAAGAATGTTGGTTCGATAAGTAGTGGACCAAGCTGCTGTACAACAAGTTTGTGCAACGTTCCAATAACAACCGCTACAACAGCTGCACCAACAACCACAACAGCTGCAACAACTACTGCTGCACCAGTAACCACAACAGCTGCACCAACAACCACAACAACGGCTGCACCAACAACAACGGCAGCAACAACAACAACAACAACTGCTGCTCCAACAACCACAACAGCTGCACCAACCACCACAACTGTGGCACCTACTATCACAACAGCTGCAACAACAACGATGGCAACAACAACTGTTGCACCAACCACCACAATGGCTGCACCAACCACCACAACAGCTGCACCAACCACCACAACTGCTGCACCAACCACAACAACGGCTGCACCAACAACAACGGCAGCAACAACAACAACAACTGCTGCTCCAACAACCACAACTGCTGCACCAACCACCACAACAGCTGCACCAACCACCACAACTGTGGCACCTACTACCAACACAGCTGCAACAACAACAACGATGGCAACAACAAGTGCTGCACCAACCACAACAATGGCTGCACCAACCACCACAACAGCTACACCAACAACTGCTGCTCCAACAACCACAACTGGTGCACCAACCACCACAACGGCTGCACCAACCACCACAACAGCTGCAGCAACAACTACAACTGGTGCACCAACCACCACAACGGCTGCACCAACCACCACAACAGCTGCAGCAACAACTGCTACTGTGGCACCTACTACCACAACAGCTGCACCATCAACAACGATGGCAACAACAACTGTTGCACCAACCACCACAACAGCTGCACTTACCACCACAACTTATGCTCCAACATCTACAACTGTGGCACCTATTACCACAACTGTGGCACCAGCCATGACATCGGCTGCACCAACAACCACAACAGCTAGACCAACAACGACGGCAGCACCAACCACCACAACTGCTGCACCAACAACCACAACTACTGCACCAACCACCACAACGGCTGCACCAACAACCACAACTGCTACACCAACAACCACAACTGCTGCACCAACCACCACAACGGCTGCACCAACCACCACAACGGCTGCACCAACAACCACAACTGCTACACCAACAACCACAACTGCTGCACCAACCACCACAACGGCTGCACCAACCACCACAACGGCTGCACCAACCACCACAACGGCTGCACCAACAACCACAACTGCTACACCAACAACCACAACTGCTGCACCAACCACCACAACTGCTGCACCAACAACGACAACTGCTGCACCAACCACCACAATGGCTGCACCAACAACAACAACTGCTGCACCAACAACCACAACTTCTGCACCAACCACCACAACGGCTGCGCCAACAACCACAACTGCTGCACCAACCACCACAACGGCTGCACCAACAACTACATCTGTGGCACCTACCACCACAACTGTGGCACCAGCCACGACAACGGCTGCGCCAACAACAACTGCTGCTCCAACAACTACAACTGTTGCACCAACAACCACAACAGCTGCACCAACTACTACAACTGCTTCCCCAACAACTACAACAGTCACATCCACAACCACAACAGCTTCACAAAAAACGACAATGGCTGCAACAACAGGTGCACCAGCAACTACAACAGTGGCACCAACAACCACAACTGCTGCACCAACCACCACAACGGCTCCGCCAACAACCACAACTGTTGCACCAACCACTACAACGGCTGCACCAACAACCACAACTGCTGCACCAGCAACCACAACTACTGCACCAACCACCACAACGGCTGCACCAACAACCACAACTGCTGCACCAACAACCACAACAACTGCACCAACCACCACAACGGCTGCACCAATAACCACAACTGCTGCATCAACCACCACAACGGCTGCACCAGCCACAACAACGGCAGCACCAGCCACAACAACGGCAGCACCAACAACAACTGCTGCACCAACAACTACAACTGTTGCACCAACCACCACAACTGCTGCATCAACATCTACAACTGTGGCACCTATTACCACAACAGCTGCACCAACAACAATGATGGCAACAACAACTGTTGCACCAACCACCACAACGGCTGCACCAACAACTACAACTGTGGCACCTACTACCACAACAGCTGCACCAACAACAACGATGGCAACAACAACTGTTGCACCAACAACCACAACAACTGCACCCACAACCACAACTGCTGCACCAACCACCACAATGGCTGCACCAACCACTACAACTGTGGCACCTACTACCACAACAGCTGCGCCAACAACAACGATGGCAACAACAACTGTTGCACCAACAACCAAAACAACTTCACCCACAACCACAACTACTGCACAAACCACCACAACGGCTGCACCAACAACCACAACTGCTGCACCAACCACCACAACGGTTGCACCAACAACTACATCTGTGCCACCTACCACCACAACTGTGGCACCAGCCACGACAACGGCTGTGCCAACAACCACAAAAGCTTCACCAACAACAACGGAAGCACCAACAACAACTGCTGCACCAACAACTACAACTGTTGCACCAACAACCACAACTGCTGCACCAACTACTACAACTGCTTCCCCAACAACAACAATGGCTGCAACAACAACAGGTGAACCAGCAACTACAAATGCTGCACCAACCACCACAACGGCTGCACCAACAATGACAACTGCTGCACCGACCACGACAATGGCTGCAGCAACAACAACTGCACCAACAACCACAACTGCTGCACCAACCACAACGGCTGCACCAACAACCACAACAGCTGCACCAACCACCACAATGGCTGCACCAACCACCACAACAGCTACACCAACAACTGCTGCACCATCAACCACAACTGCTGCACCAACCACAACAACGGCTGCACCAACAACAACGGCAGCAACAACAACGACAACTGCTGCACCAACAACCACAACAGCTGCACCAACCACCACAACAGCTGCACCAACAACAATGATGGCAACAACAACTGTTGCACCAACCACCACAACGGCTGCACCAACAACTACAACTGTGGCACCTACTACCACAACAGCTGCACCAACAACAACGATGGCAACAACAACTGTTGCACCAACAACCACAACAACTGCACCCACAACCACAACTGCTGCACCAACCACCACAACGGCTGCACCAACAACTACAACTGTGGCACCTACTACCACAACAGCTGCACCAACAACAACAATGGCAACAACAACTGTTGCACCAACCACCACAACAGCTGCACCAGCAACTACAACAGTGGCACCAACATCCACAACTGCTGCAGCAACCACCACAACTGCTGCACCAACAACCACAACAGCTGCACTAACAACAACTGCTGCACCAGCAACTACAACAGTGGCACCAACAACCACAACTGCTGCACAGACCACCACAACTGCTGCACCAACAACCACAACAGCTGCACTAACAACTACAACTCTGGCACCTACTACCACAACAGCTGCACCAACAACAACGATGGCAACTACAACTGTTGCACCAACCACCACAACAGCTGCACTAACCACCACAACTGCTGCACCAACAACCACAACAGCTGCACTAACAACAACTGCTGCACCAGCAACTACAGCAGTGGCAACAACAACCACAACTGCTGTACCAACCACAACAACGGCTGCACCAACAACAACGGCAGCAACAACAACGACAACCGCTGCACCAACTGTGGCACCTATTACCACAACTGTGGCGCCAGCCACGACAACGGCTGCACCAACAACCACAACAGCTGCACTAACAACTACGGCAGCACCAACTACCACAACTGCTGCACCAACATCCACAACTACTGCACAAACCACCACAACGGCTGCACCAACAACCACAACTGCTGCACCAACCACCACAACGGCTGCACCAACATCCACAACCTCTGCACCAACCACCACAACTGCTGCACCAACAACCACAACAGCTGCACTAACAACAACTGCTGCACCAGCAACTACAACAGTGGCACCAACAACCACAACTGCTGCACCAACCACCACAACTGCTGCACCAACAACCACAACAGCTGCACTAACAACTACAACTGTGGCACCTACTACCACAACAGCTGCACCAACAACAACGATGGCAACTACAACTGTTGCACCAACCACCACAACAGCTGCACTAACCACCACAACTGCTGCACCAACAACCACAACAGCTGCACTAACAACAACTGCTGCACCAGCAACTACAACAGTGGCAACAACAACCACAACTGCTGCACCAACCACAACAACGGCTGCACCAACAACAACGGCAGCAACAACAACGACAACCGCTGCACCAACAACCACAACTGCTGCACCAACCACCACAACGGCTGCACCAACATCCACAACCTCTGCACCAACCACCACAACTGCTGCACCAACAACCACAACAGCTGCACTAACAACAACTGCTGCACCAGCAACTACAACAGTGGCACCAACAACCACAACTGCTGCACCAACCACAACAACGGCTGCACCAACAACAACGGCAGCAACAACAATGACAACCGCTGCACCAACAACCACAACTGCTGCACCAACCACCACAACGGCAGCACCAACTACCACAGCTGCTGCACCAACATCCACAACTACTGCACAAACCACCACAACGGCTGCACCAACAACCACAACTGCTGCACCAACCACCACAACGGCTGCACCAACATCCACAACCTCTGCACCAACCACCACAACTGCTGCAACAACAACCACAACAGCTGCACTAACAACAACTGCTGCACCAGCAACTACAACAGTGGCACCAACAACCACAACTGCTGCACCAACCACAACAACGGCTGCACCAACAACAACGGCAGCAACAACAATGACAACCGCTGCACCAACAACCACAACTGCTGCACCAACCACCACAACGGCAGCACCAACTACCACAGCTGCTGCACCAACATCCACAACTACTGCACAAACCACCACAACGGCTGCACCAACAACCACAACTGCTGCACCAACCACCACAATGGCTGCACCAACATCCACAACCTCTGCACCAACCACCACAACTGCTGCACCAACAACCACAACAGCTGCACTAACAACAACTGCTGCACCAGCAACTACAACAGTGGCACCAACAACCACAACTGCTGCATCAACCACCACAACTGCTGCACCAACAACCACAACAGCTGCACTAACAACTACAACTGTGGCACCTACTACCACAACAGCTGCACCAACAACAACGATGGCAACTACAACTGTTGCACCAACCACCACAACAGCTGCACTAACCACCACAACTGCTGCTCCAACGACTACAACTGTGGCACCTATTACCACAACTGTGGCGCCAGCCACGACAACGGCTGCACCAACAACCACAACAGCTGCACCAACAACAACAGCAGCAGCAACTACCACAACTGCTGCACCAACATCCACAACTACTGCACCAACCACCACAACGGCTGCACCAACAACCACAACTGCTGCACCAATCACCACAACGGCTGCACCAACATCCACAACCTCTGCACCAACCACCACAACTGCTGCACCAACAACCACAACAGCTGCACTAACAACAACTGCTGCACCAGCAACTACAACAGTGGCACCAACAACCACAACTGCTGCACCAACCACAACAACGGCTGCACCAACAACAACGGCAGCAACAACAATGACAACCGCTGCACCAACAACCACAACTGCTGCACCAACCACCACAACGGCAGCACCAACTACCACAACTGCTGCACCAACATCCACAACTACTGCACAAACCACCACAACGGCTGCACCAGCAACCACAACTGCTGCACCAACCACCACAACGGCTGCACCAACATCCACAACCTCTGCACCAACCACCACAACTGCTGCACAAACAACCACAACTGCTGCACCAGCAACTACAACAGTGGCACCAACAACCACAACTGCTGCACCAGCAACTACAACTGTGGCACCTACTACCACAACAGCTGCACCAACAACAACGATGGCAACTACAACTGTTGCACCAACCACCACAACAGCTGCACTAACCACCACAACTGCTGCTCCAACGACTACAACTGTGGCACCTATTACCACAACTGTGGCGCCAGCCACGACAACGGCTGCACAAACAACCACAACAGCTGCACCAACCACCACAACTGCTGCACCAACCACCACAACTGCTGCACCAGCAACTACAACAGTGGCACCAACAACCACAACTGCTGCACCAGCAACTACAACTGTGGCACCTACTACCACAACAGCTGCACCAACAACAACAATGGCAACTACAACTGTTGCACCAACCACCACAACAGCTGCACTAACCACCACAACTGCTGCTCCAACGACTACAACTGTGGCACCTATTACCACAACTGTGGCGCCAGCCACGACAACGGCTGCACAAACAACCACAACAGCTGCACCAACAACAACAGCAGCACCAACTACCACAACTGCTGCACCAACATCCACAACTACTGCACCAACCACCACAACGGCTGCACCAACAACCACAACTGCTGCACCAACCACCACAACGGCTGCACCAACATCCACAACCTCTGCACAAACCACCACAACTGCTGCACCAACAACCACAACAGCTGCACTAACAACAACTGCTGCACCAGCAACTACAACAGTGGCACCAACAACCACAACTGCTGCACCAACCACAACAACGGCTGCACCAACAACAACGGCAGCAACAACAACGACAACCGCTGCACCAACAACCACAACTGCTGCACCAACCACCACAACGGCAGCACCAACTACCACAACTGCTGCACCAACATCCACAACTACTGCACAAACCACCACAACGGCTGCACCAACAACCACAACTGCTGCACCAACCACCACAACGGCTGCACCAACATCCACAACCTCTGCACCAACCACCACAACTGCTGCACAAACAACCACAACAGCTGCACTAACAACAACTGCTGCACCAGCAACTACAACAGTGGCACCAACAACCACAACTGCTGCACCAACCACAACAACGGCTGCACCAACAACGGCAGCAACAACAACGACAACCGCTGCACCAACAACCACAACAGCTGCACCAACCACCACAACTGCTGCACGAACATCTACAACTGTGGCACCTATTACCACAACAGCTGCACCAACAACAATGATGGCAACAACAACTGTTGCACCACCCACCACAACGGCTGCACCAACAACTACAACTGTGGCACCTACTACCACAACAGCTGCACCAACAACAACGATGGCAACAACAACTGTTGCACCAACAACCACAACAACTGCACCCACAACCACAATGGCTGCAACAACTACTGCTGCATCAACAATTACAACAGTGGAATCAACAACCACAACTGCCTCACTAACCACCACAAGAGTGGCACCAGAAACCACAACTGAGGCACCAGCAACCACAACAAATTCCCCCACATCATCCACAGCATCCCAGTCAGCCACCACTACATCAACCACCAGCCGTGCTTCTAGCATCTCCATTGGAACACTTCATCTCTTACTTTTATTGACTGTGATCTTTTTGTAAATTAAAAGCACTGCATCAATGGTAAATTAAGAAACCACTAATCACAAAAGTAACGGAAGTGTGTTATTACTTTCTATCCATTGCTTTGATAGATTTTATTTATTTTTTCCTTTTTTAATTATATTTATATCACTTTTTAATTATTTGCATTCTAATCAACTAATAAAATTTGCTCTCTTCATCAAGTTTAATTAAGTCTATGGCAGAAGTGTCTTATTAAAGTTTTATTTAAAATATATTTTCTTTTACAACAGAATTTCTAAAATATAAACATCCTTGTGTTTGGGAGCTTGAAGTTTACACAATTTCCTCAAGATGTTTGAGATGCTGCAAAATAAACCTGCTTAAGAAGTATTGTTTGATTGATTTTATGAGGGACAAAAAAATTAAATGAAAATAAATATATACCCTTATAGTCTTTGATATACACTCACCAGCCACTTTATTAGGTACACCTGTCCAACTGCTCGTTAACACTTAATTTCTAAGCAGCCAATCACATGGCGGCAACTCAGTGCATATAGGCATGTAGACATGGTCAAGACAATCTCCTGCAGTTCAAACCGCGCATCAGTATGGGGAAGAAAGGTGATTTGAGTGACTTTGAACGTGGCATGATTGTTGGTGCCAGAAGGGCTGGTCTGAGTATTTCAGAAACTGCTGATCTACTGGGACTTTCACGCACAACCATCTCTAGGGTTTACAGAGAATGGTCCGAAAAAGAAAAAACATCCAGTAAGCGGCAGTTCTGTGGGCGGAAATGCCTTGTTAATGTCAGAGGTCAGAGGAGAATGGCCAGACTGGTTCGAGCTGATAGAAGGGCAACAGTGACTCAAATAACCACCCGTTACAACCAAGGTGGGCAGAAGAGCATCTCTGAACTCACAGTACGCCGAACTTTGAGGCAGATGGGCTACAGCAGCAGAAGACCACACCGGGTGCCACTCCTTTCAGCTAAGAACAGGAAACTGAGGCTACAATTTGCACAAGCTCATCGAAATTGGACAACAAAAGATTGGAAAAACGTTGCCTGGTCTGATGAGTCTCGATTTCTGCTGCGACATCCGGATGGTAGGGTCAGAATTTGGCGTCTACAACATGAAGGCATGGATCCATCCTGCCTTGTATCAACGGTTCAGGCTGGTGGTGGTGGTGTCATGGTGTGGGGAATATTTTCTTGGCACTCTTTGGGCCCCTTGGTACCAATTGAGCATCGTTGCAACGCCACAGCCTACCTGAGTGTTGTTGCTGACCATGTCCATCCCTTTATGACCACAATGTACCCAACTTCTGATGGCTACTTTCAGCAGGATAATGCGCCATGTCATAAAGCTGGAATCATCTCAGACTGGTTTCTTGAACATGACAATGAGTTCACTGTACTCAAATGGCCTCCACAGTCACCAGATCTCAATCCAATAGAGCATCTTTGGGATGTGGTGGAACGGGAGATTCGCATCATGGATGTGCAGCCGACAAATCTGCGGCAACTGTTTGATACCATCATGTCAATATGGACCAAACTCCCTGAGGAATGCTTCCAGCACCTTGTTGAATCTATGCCACGAAGAACTGAGGCAGTTCTGAAGGCAAAAGGGGGTCCAACCCGTTACTAGCATGGGGTACCTAATAAAGTGGCCGGTGAGTGTATATTAAATAAAAGAAGCACAAAGAATAATTGTATCTGCCCAAACTTTCACCAACAAAGCACATGCTGTCTATTTGGAGTTTTTTTTCCTTCAAACACCTGCCCATTTTAAGTCCTTTTTGCATACCCAAATAGAAAAACAAGTAACTTAAGAAATGTAAGCCACCATTACATGTGTGATACATCATTTGAAATCTAACACCTTCAAGTTTCTGTAAATATAACTGCTAAATAGTGTGACTAAACTACTGCCAACACTCTAGCAGTTAAATCATGACTCATAGTTGTGTTTTTTTTTCTTCTTCTCGGAAATAAAAGGTATTTTTTTTTATTGTTTTTATTGAAAGTGATAGTGTAAAAAATATACAGGAAAAGGTAGATTGTTTCTTTCTTTTTTTCTAACACCACCCCCTACCCTTAACACACCCTGACGGGACTTGAATTGTAAAATAAGTACAAATGTTTTACAAGAAGGGAAAGAAAAGACAATAGAAATCCCAATTTCAAATCACAAGCATCTGCTTTTACAGAAAAAATAAAACTCAGATCAAGTCTAAAGCTATGTCTGGCTATAGCTTAAATTGCGTGGAGTTGGTTACCCCAGTATAGTACCAAATACAGTCATTGATTAAGGCATGCTCTTTGGTAATGTATCATGTCCATCAAAATGTGAGATTAAAGGTCCCCACACTAACAGAAATTTGTCAGAACCTCGTAGGGTGAATTTAGTTGAGTATAAGAACATCATCACATCTTGCAGCCACCGTGCTGCAGTCAATGGAGTGTTTGGTTTCCAATTCAATAGAATTTGCCTACGCACCAATCGAGTAACAAAAGATATGATGTAACATTGTTTTTTAGTCCAAGAATCAATTTTATCTGGTACCCCAAATATATTCACTATTACACAGAGTTCGATTCTCACCCCCAGAACCTCACACAATACACTGAAGACCGTTGACCAATATTGTGTAAGTGTGCGACAGGACGAGAACATATGTGTCAGCTACATCTGCATGACATCTAACACATCTACTGTCCATATGTGGGTAGAAAGAGGAAAATCCTGGCTCTGCTCCAGTGGAGACGATGCACTACCTAAAATTGGATTAATCCCAGTCTTGCACAGGAAGTGCTGCCGTTAACTCTTTTTAAGGCCTCTGCCCACTTCTCTTCTGAAATATCCATTCCAATCTCTTTTTCCCATAATGATGGAGTATAACCGTGCTGTACATCCTCTCATTCCAAAGGGGACTTCCAACAGAGAATCTACCAGTGGAACTACAGGGAATTGCGGGCACTCTGTTTTAGGATGATAGCGAACTTGGAAATAACGAATAAATCATTCTGTGGAAAATCATATTTTGAACAAAAGTCATTGAAGCTTGAACATTTTTTATTTTCATAAAAGTCACTAAAGGTTCATAGACTTTTCCTATGCCATACTGCAAACATCTGATCCAACCAGAAACTTATGGTTACAAATTACAAATTGGGTTCTGTACTAGAAGAGTATGTTTGATGTTAATATGCCTTCTAAATTGATTCCATATTTATAAGGTAGAGATGACCACAGGATTAGATATATAATGCTTAATTTCTGCATCTCTATATTAGAGGAGACCAGTGCTGGTAAAGAGGTTGATATGCATGACCTGCTTTCCAGTTCACACCAGTTAGTATCTGGGGATTGCATCCAATTCTGCTCATTCCATATAAATTGTGACACTATTTTATCTATCTGAGTGAGAAAATGATTTGAAGAAGAAAATAGGGATACATTAAAACACAAAAATGTATGCAAGATGTTCATTTTGATACTGTTTACTCTGCCAGCAAGGGTCAGCTGCAAGACATCCCATCTTTGTAGATCAGATTTAACTTTTGATACTAGCGAGGCAAAGTTTTTATTAAAAAGATCTTGAAAAGATGATGTGATGTTAATGCCCAAGTATTAAAAACATTTTTTTTTATATCTTAAATGGTAAAGATTGGTCTGGAAACACCATGGCTGGTTTATTTAATGGAAAGCATTCACTTTTGGTGTGTGTCATCTGCATATAGGGATAGTTTGCTTTCCAAATCTCCTCTGCGTATACCATGGATTTAGTGTATAGATTTAAGTAAAAGAGAAAGAGTATTTGCATTCTAGCCTATGCATGGGTCGCACCTCCAAGGTAATTTTCGTCAATTAATTGTCATATATATATATATGATATATATGTGTGCACACGGAATGCAAAGCAGGGCACACAGTTTATTGATCCCAGCGCATAGTTCAATAAACCGAGAGAACAGTTTCATAATCCGCGGGCACGGGTTAATAAACCGAGAGTACAGTTTCTCAATCTGTGTAAACTCAGTTTATCAGTTGTTTTTTTACCTTGACACCCAGAATCAAATCAGCAATAACTTTACATAGAGATTAAAAGTTCTCTCCTTTGTTTCAACTATCCGCTGTTTCAACAGATGTTACATGCTGGTCAAGGGTATCCACCGTTTCCTGAAAGCCCGTTAGTGAAGATTGGATAGGTGCCAGAGATGACTGAAGTTCATGACTAAGTGTGGTCATGTCCTCTCAGAGATTAACTTGCTGCTTTTCCATTTCAGACGCTAACATCAAGGCTAGTTGTTTGCATCGCTGGTTGCCATCTTAGCCACCTTGCTACTGATCATTTCTTCTGATTTCTTCTGAGAATCTGATTCTTCTTTGCCTTCCTGTGTGACTGCCATATTTCACTGCATGAAAGAAAGAGAAACAGCGCTGCACCTACAAAGGAGAGGAAGATGGCTAGGGAGAAGATTGTTGCTCCAGTTAAGTCCATTAATTTATATGGCAGGCCGTTTTTACATTAATTAAAAGCTCTCTCATGCCTGTTGTTCAATTTGTAGATCACTAGAATAAGATCTTCCTGATAAAAACACACTCCTAGACTGAACTGTAGTAATATATTTTCTAAATTACATTTTTAAATAAAATTTTTGTGTAAGGTACGCAGAATATAGAATCCAGTCTTCAGGCAAGACTGAGAGTGTGAAGTTTCAAAAACAACCACCCAAAGCACCCATCACTGGCACTCTTGTTTAACAGTTCAGATCCAGCCGATGGACTGCCTACCAGTGTTAATTTTGTCAACCATGACGATGATGAAAATATTTCGTCAACGCCCCTTTTTCCCGTGACAATGCCGAGACGATAACAAAGAAAAATAGTTTCCAAAAAACAAAAATATGACGAAAATAAAAAATTACGAAATTTACGATCCATTGACGAAGGGACATAAAGAAATTTAATTGTTTATGATTAATTTATAATTGTTAATATAAGTGTTTCTTGAGCTTCATAGATTATGCGTTGTTGCCTTGTTTGTCCCTACACAGCACCTGTCCCTCAGTGCCCAGCAGCACTCAGTCAGTAGTAGCATAGCTCAACTTCACAGTCATTGCGGATACCGGCGGTTTGTTAGACAATGCCTGGATGTATGGAGCCATTTCGTTTACAACGTGAGGGAAAACGCCATGAACAGGTGGGCCTGTAGTAGTGGGAACGGGTGTGTGTGTGTGCGCATGGGTGTTAATTTAAATGTATATGTGTGTGTGCAGGCGTGCATGGTCTTGTTTTACCTACAATGTGAGGGAAGTATTTTGTAACATATCCTACATGTGAGGACTTAGAGGTACATATAGGGACATTCAACTGGTCCCTATATGCTAAAGTTTTGTTCTTTGAATTGAGGTTAGGTTTAGGAATACATCTTGTTAGGGTAAGGGTTTGGGTTAGGCCATATAAAATGAATGCAAGTCAATGAAAGTTCCGCATATGTCATGAAAACAAATCTGTGTGCTGTGTGTATGTGTGTGCCTTCCCGTGCCTGTATCAGTCTGTCTCTCTGTCATAGAAGAAAGATGTTCTACTGATACACTGGATATTAATCATTTAAATTTCTTCCTTCCAACCAGATACCTGACAGAGTGACACCAACGCCAAATCACAGGTTGGGGTAGGAAGGGAAGTCTGTTGCAGAGATGCACCCCCACCCCTGACGCCAAAGAGCAGAAAGCCCTGGAGAATTCAATGGCAAAGTGGATTGGGCGTTCTGGCCTGCCTGCAAGGACCATTGAGAACAAAGACTTTGTGGATATGATGAATCAAGCCGACCACAGGTTCAATGTGTGCAGTGTGATATTTGCCCTCTGCACTGAGTCATCCAATCACAGAGCTGGCCTTCCTGATCAGCTGATCCAGACGCATTCTCTCAGCCACAGATAAGTCACTGCTCCAACTGACGGCTCCGTAGAAGATGATTGATGGCACAATAGAGCCATAGAAGGTCTTTAGAAGCACCCCCTGCACTCCAAAAGACCTCAGTCTCCTCAGCAGGAAGTCTGTTCTGACCTTTCTTATACAGAGCCTCAGATGAACACCTATAGATACTTATGAGTCCACTATCTCAATGTCCCTTCCCTGGATGTTCACCAGTGTCAGTAGGGTTGATCACCTTCTGCAAGAGTACAGAACTAGCTCCTTGGTTTTCCCTGCATTAATCAGACCGATTTTTTGACAGTGATTACCTTTAATTCAATCAACAGATAAGTTACTTTATATTGCATCAATTTTCAGTCCATCCATCCATTATCTGACACGCTTGTCCAAATTGGGGTCGCGAAGGGTGCTGGTGCCTATCTCCAGCTGTCAATGGACGAGAGGGCGAGACAGGTTACCAGTCCATCGCAATTTTCAGTCTGATTGGTTAAAAAGGTTTTTATCTAAGAAAATCAAGCTGACTGCATCGAGTCATTGGCTACGTTCACACTGCAGGCCTTGATGCTCAATTCCGATTTTTTGTGAAGTCATTCATTCTCGACTAGTATTCTTTTTTTTATCTAATACAAGTCAAGGTTGCACTGGACTGAATGATGTGTCTGTCTGAATGTTTCTACTTAAAACAGTTTCTGTGGATCCATGTATTTTAGCATTTATCAAAATAAATCCAACAGATTCCAAAGGACATTCAAAGCCTTTCTGTTTCAGTTGTGCCTAGACATTTTTATTCAGACTATGGTGTTCCAGTTTTATTCTCAACAGTGGTTGGTTAATGATAACTCGTACTCCTCGTCGTTGTCGTCTTTTTCTTTATCCCAGACATCTCTATCTGCAGACACCTCCTCCAGCGTTTCCTGGGTCAGAGAGAGCGAGAGAGAGGCGTTCATGTGGCATCCAAAAAAGAAATCCAAGCCACCTCAGCTGACTCCTCTCGATGTGGAGGAGAAGCAGCTCCTCACCCTATCTCTAGAGGTGTGTCCAACCTCCCTGTGGATTTCAGCCGATTATTTTTGGGATCTTGTTCTTTGGTCATAATACAGATTTCATGACCATAGGTGAGGATAGGAACGTTGACCGACCAGTAAATAGAGAGCTTAGCCTTTTTGCTCTGTTCTCTCTTCGCCATGATAGACTGGTGCAGCGTCTGCAGTTTAGCAGCAGCGACACTGATCCGAGTCCATTCTCCCCTAACTCGGGAACAGGACCCCAATATATATATATTTGAAATTTTTCGCTTGAGGTATTTTATAATAATTAATTGTTTTTATCATACTTGTATGTAAAATACAACATTTCAGGATAAGATGCAAACAATGGATCTCATGCAAGAAGCGTTTGCATGAACAAATTCATTCTTAAATTGTTACGAATTTAGGAGAAAACGTAGTTGATGTGGTTGTTTATGTAAATAATATATTACTCTTGGTAAATATTCCACCACCCCCCATTAATTTAGAAGATTGGGAACAAACGGCAGGGACTGAGGAACAGTTTTTCTGGATTTTCTTCAAATGTCTGGTGTGAAGATGGGAGGTGGAAAAAAGATTTTTCAACCGCTTTTGATCGTTTCATTTTTTCAAGGATGTAACAGCAGATTAAGTTGACTTTCGTCTTTATAGAAGCTGTAAGATATTTTTAGTTATGCTCTGTCCTGGTTTTTTTGTCTAAAAATAAACAAAATATATTTTTCTAAGTCAGAAATGCATACATGAAACACCACCTGTTTCCACTAATGGCGTTCGGTTACATTTTTAGGTTTTTGGAACACAGAGTGCCGCGACATTTAAGTCGGAATCTAGAAGACAAAAAATAAATTAAATTCATGCCCTAATTGATGTATGGAATCAAAGGCTTCTATAGATGAGCATTTGGAAATGTTTAATAACTATTTAGGGGAGTTCATTGAGGTACATTCGTCAGTGCAAAGACTGCTGAAAAATTATCAAAAGTAAACTGATCACGGTGATTATGAACCTGAGCATTGATTCGTTCTAGTGTTTTTGGATGAAATCGAAGCGTTGATGAATGCTGAGCCGGATGCTCAGAAGGGCGAATTATGCTCAGCATCTGTCATCGGATCAGAGGCACCATCTCGTGACATCATGCCGGATGTCAGAGAAGGCAAAAAAAAAACAGTCGTCAAGGTGTCTAGAAAATTATCTAGGACTACAGCTAAACCACCCTGCAAGGTCACTAGTAAGATGCCCGGTAGTGTTAGTAAAGCTTCTAGTGCACAGAGTGAAAGCTCCCAAGCAGCTTCAGTGGCGTTAATGTAAGCTGAGGTGCAAAAAGCTGCTCTACAAACAGAGGTGGACACTTTGCAATAAAAACATGCACTGGAAGACTAGCTAAAAGCAAGAAAAGCATTGGCTTTAAGAACTAAGTTTGTGCAGGCAGATGCAAAAATGCACATTTGCACCCAGACAAGGAAAGCAACAACTGCAGTGCTAAAGTTGAAAGCAAAAATACAACAGGTTCTGCAACTTCTACTGCTCAAAAGGCTCCAAGAACCACTGTTGGCTTCGACACCTGTGCCAATGCCCCAAGGGATCCCTGTTAATATAGCATTGAAAGTGAAACCAGTGAAATAATGCTTAATTATTTAGAGCAGTTTACCGCAGGGCAGCCTAGGACCTTAGTGAGAAGTTGTGTGCATATAAGTCTACAGACTGCAAGATAGATTTATCGATAAGGCTCTAAATTGGTCAGTTTTAAAGTCTGATGATGTAAGAGATCTTTGAGCTTTTACATTGCTTTTAAGAAGTTGTTTCAGCAGTTAGACTTAGACAGAATTAGACAGACTTTATTGTCATTCTATACACAATGGATGAAACTGGGTTTATTTATGAACTTGAAAACTCAAACAATATGAGGATTCTTGCTTCAAAGTTGGCTTTTAATCTTTATGATAAACAGAGAATAATTGTGATTGACATATCAGAGAAGTATGATCGTAGAGCAAAATGTAAAGATCTTCTTGATTTTCAGGAAAGACAAACAAAAGCTGTGTTAGATTCTATTTTTGGGAATAGTCAACATCCAAAAGAAAAGGTGACTTTAAAACCATCAAAGGTTCCTTCTAAAACTAAAAGCAGCAGTTTTGCTACTTCTGTTGCTGTAGTTTCTAAACAGAGCAATGAAAAACAAAAGGTGGAACAGGTTGGCCATTAAAAAATAAAGGTTGTAAGAAAATGTTGCTTGTTTTGTAATAGAAAAAATTTTATGGAGAACTGTGACTTATTCTAATAGTGAAAAAGAAAAGATTACTAAAACGTATCATTTATGCTTTGGCTGTTTAGAGAAGGGGCATATGACTAAGAATTTCCCCCAACGTTTGAGATGTCTCAGCAATAATAAAAGTCAACCTACTGTTCTGCCCATTCAACTGAATGAACACTAGTGGCAAGCAATTAAGGCTAATTGTGAAGTCATCTGTTAAATGAGGAAGTTGTGTCCGCTTGAAGGCAGTTGCGCCTCGGGACTTCCCTACCGGTTCTTTTACTGGGAGCAAGTTATTTACTACTCTTAACTCAAACTGGGTAAAACCATATAAAAAGGGACTATAAAAACAGGAGTAAAAAAGTAAAAGAGTTTATTCCAGATCAGGCATAGTTCAAGTTAACGCGCACTGTCCTCAGTGCCTCTCCTTCAGCAGACTTGAGGGCTGAATTCCACGCTTTCAAAGATTCCCGAATGTCCTCAGTCCTCCAGGGTCATTGGTTGGCCCAGGTAAGCATATTCTTTGTGGTGTTGACATGCTCAATGCATTTGTTGATGTAGGCTGGCACAGTCATAGGATACTCATCAATGTGCTGATCAAGATTCTCAGTCATCCAGGTCATAGTCATTCCGTTAAAGTTCAAAAAATATCCACTGGACTTGGTTTCAAAATCTTCAAATCTTGGAAACCAAGTCCAGTGGATATTTTTTGAACTTTTACGGAGATACTCATCATTATTGATCTTGTTATCATAGGTTTCTGCAGCTTTGAACATGTTCCAGTCAGAGCATTCAAAACAGTCCTGGATTGCCTCCATGGCCCCCTCAGTCCACACCCTGACCTGCTTCACTGTTGGTTTAGCTCTGATAAGCTATGGTCTATAAACAGGAATTAGCATTACAGATAGGTGAACGTACTAGCCGAGGTGGGGGCGGGGGGCTACTCTGAAGGCATCTTTTAGGATATAATAAACTAGGTCTTGCGTGTACTGTCCCCAAGTCCACGTGTTAGTAAAATTAGCGATAACAGTCTTCAAATTAGCGTGGTTAAAATCCCCAGTAACGATGAACAGTAATGAACACCCTCCATGTGTGCAACTTGGAGCTCAGTGATACTCTGCAGGGGTTGATGTTAAGGTTTTTTGCCCAGAAAATTTTTTTTCTTACCCAGTATAATATTTGATAAATATAGTTCCTAATATTCATTTTTGTATATATATCAATGAAACATGTTTGTTTTTTTAAATGTTTTTTGTAATTCAGTATTTTTAAGTTTCCAGGTTCCTTGTGTGTATATGCGCGCGTCAGATAATGTAATCAAGCCTACATTACCGTGTTAACATGCTTTTCAATCCTTCCTGCACATTCTTTTCAAGCTAAACTTTGCTTTAAACTGTTGTGTGCTTGGAAAAATATAAATTGTAATGTTAAAAATCTAAAAAAAACTTGACAGGTTAAAAACTTAAGATAAATCACAAGATAGAAGTCAATGTCACAAATGAATAACTTTTTTTTTAGAGTCACGGTATGTTTATACAAGATAATACTATTAATATAATGTGACTTTTCTAGAAAATCATTAAAAATAGTTATTTTATACAAGGTTTCCACAGTCTTACATCATTTCAGAATTCCCTGACTTTTAACTGAGTCGGGATTAGTTTTCCCTGATAAAATAAATGCAGCAACAAGACAGTAATAATAACATAACAGGTCACCAATTTAAC